CCCCAAAACCCCAAAACCCCAAAACCCCAAAACCCCAAAACCCCTTCTGAGTAATTTTGTATTGAATATTTAAAAATTGTGATTGGAGTCTGAAATTTTGTAAACTTGGGAGGTTACTCTAGCAGGAGGTCTTCAATTTTGAAGTGGGACGTATATGGGTCTGACCAGTAATTAGTGTCATAAAATTCTTTGTTTTCATCTGCTTTTGCAGTTGCCTCTGGAACAGGTTTGGGCTCTTCGATATTTACTTGGAGTTCTTTTAGAGTATGATTCTCAAAGAAGAACTCTTTTTTACTTCCTTCCAATATGCATTCTTTATTTTTACGATGCTTCCTTCTGGATTTTTGGCCTTCTATGAATTCTATTGCTACATCTTTAATGCTATCATCTATGACTTTTTCATCATCATCTTCTCTATTTACCGGATCAATAGTCCATTCAAGTCCTTTAGTTGGTACGTCATCGTCATCATCTAGCTCTATTGTATCCTTCATATCATACCTTCCTCTTGCCATATGAGAAGGTTTCAGATCTCTTGAGTCTTCATCTGCTCTCTCAAAAATATCTTCATTGTCCATATCAATCTCAATTTCTTTGTCATCATTTGAAGTAAAGTATTTGTTAATTTCATCAAAGTCTAGACGATCTTCATCTTCTTCCTCCTCCTCTTCAGTTTCTTGTTCAATGTCCTCATCTTGCTTAGGAATTAAGTTCTTTCTCCTATTCTTGATTGATTCAAATGGAACTGGTTTGAAGCCCTTGAATCTTCCCAGAAAATCGTTGTCGTCAAAAGGAGTCTCAATCTTTGCTCTCGGGTCTCTCCCTCCTAGTTCCGTTTCCAGCCGTTCGTTGCTCTGCTTCAGCTCGCCCTCTTCAAACTGAGTCCACTCCGGAATCGACTCCAGTGTGTCTCTGACTTGTGAGCTGTCTCTGCTGACTCTGACCAGTTCATTGGCGATGCTCAGGATGTAAGCATGATACCCTCTGTTCGCAGAGTTCTGAGTGGCTGCAAATGTCATGACTCGCTTGACAGGCGAGTTCAGCTCCAGAATGTATTTGACAAGCTGGGTGTTGTCCATGAGTTCTTCGATGATTTCAGTGCAGTCCGACTTCAACGATGACTTGACAATGTCTTCGATCTTGGAGTGCAGCATAGAGTTGTTTGGGTATTTCTCGAACAAGTCCAGCACAGTCTTGAGCACATTTGCTTTGATTAATTCATCTTTGATTTGCACAAAGAACTTCGATGCAATCACTCTGATCATTTCGACAGCTTCAAGCTTGACACCTCCGAACACTTTGCTGGGTTCTCCGTATGAAGTCTCGATGAATTGAGCATCGACTTCGTCAGTGATCAGCTGCAGCACCAGAGGCAACAGAGCACAGATTGACCCGATGAACTGCTTCTCGCGTTCGCTTTCTTTGGCGATGATGCTCTTCGACAGGTTGGAGCCACTCTGGTCGCCACTCTTGTCTCTGCTGGCGTTCTTGTCTTTGGAGCAGTTGTCGTTTGAGTCGAGCTTGAGGCCGAGAGTGTCGTTGTCTTGCTCAGAGTAGTCTTCATCGTCGAGTGGTGCTGAAATATTGACACACTTGTTGGTGCCATCTTTGGAGTATTCTCTGAGAATGGTGTTGAAGAGTTTGAGGGTGTGTTTGATACCTTCAGCGTCATCATTTTCGAGTCCGATGGAGATTTTGTCCATGACATCTTGGCAGGAAAGATAGCCAAAGAGTTGACTGAACTTGGCCATTTCGCATAAAATAGTACTCGCATTCCAGTATTCCTCTACATTCTGAGATCTTATCAATTTATTAACTAGCTTGATTATAATTTCATTCCTTGATTTTTCATAATCATTGGATATGTTTCAAGACTCCTCTTTCCCAAATCCTCTTGGAGATTTGAATATTTCTCCACTATCATTATTTATGCTATTATTGGTTGTCAGAGTTGAATTGTTTGAAATATTTAGAACTTTGATGATAATATCTCAGATACTTTGATCATAAATATGATCAATCATTTTCTCTAAAAATGAGCCACTACCACCTTGTTCCTCTAGTCTATGATAAATATATTTCATAATTTCTTTCTGTTTGTAATTTAGAAGTCCAAGAACAACTTTTTGCACATATCCAGATAATACTGGGTTATGTTGGTATTCTTCTTTAGAATCATCCTGCTTTTCATTTAAAAAGAAGCTAAAAAGAGTGTCTAAAAGTTCATATTTATCACTTTTTGTTTCCTTATTTTCATCATCTCAGTTTGAGTCTTCATCTCACATTAAGTTCACTTCATCGTCATCATCGAATGAAGTTTTGATGGTTGAGAACTTATCTGCGGTTTCTTTATTTATTTCAGAATCTTCAACGTCATCTTCCTTCTGTTTTTCACTCTCATTTTTGGCATTATCCTTTTGAGAGATGCTACCAGATTCTTCCTTTTGTTCCTCATTCTGTTTATCCTCTTCTTGTTTTTGTTTAGAACCTTTTGAGGTTAAGGCATCTTTTAGTCTGATTCCTTTAAGCGGTTTTACCTGGCTATCAGGATGAACTTCAGCACTATTACTTTCAAGAGCAGAGGCATTCCCTTGCTTGGGCTCTTGTAAATTACCCTCATTCTGGTCTGAACCCTCCTTCTTTGAAGTTTCTCCAATCTGCTCAACTTCTGATCCATCCTTTTTCTCTCCTTCTGAGTTATTTTGTTCATTTTGCTTTTCTGCGATAAACTCTTTATTTAAATTTCAAACTCAGTCAGAACAACTTTTCATCAGCCGGAGGTTTCTCCTCCTCTGACTCTTCATTGGTAAAGAACATTTCAAGAATTTGTGGGGCTTCAGAGGACAATATCTCACTGGATACGAAGGGGAATCTGTATGTCCTGTCATGGCTATCGTCTTCTTGTGGTATCTCTACTATGTACTGTACGAGTTTATTTAACCTTCTCTCTACTGAAATAATTTAGAAGTCTTTTATTGTTTAGTTTTACTTCATTAACTACTTCTTGCTCGGTTAGGATTTGCGAAAGAGTGGTATCAGTTTCATCTAGGAGATCGTCAATAGCTGATCTTTTATCGAATCCATTGAAAGTTGATAGTAAGTCTCTGTACATCTTTTATATTACTATATTTATTCAATTTTATGGGCTTTGGAGGGGTTTTGGGGTTTTGGGGTTTTGGGGTTTTGGGGTTTTGGGG